AATGTGGATCCTGTAGTAGGATTGTGGCATTATGAATAGTGTCATCTTTCCTTTGACTGGCCTTGGCGAGTTACGACGTGGTCGTTGTTGTTCGTTGTTGCGTACCGTTGCCGTACTCGCCGGCATGAGGGATGGTTGCTGAGCAATCTCCATATCGTCCCACTTAATCTTACATTGGCCTTTGCATGAAAGTCTTAACCATAAGGGTGCCGTGGGCTGGCGCCAATACAGCGGCCACGGGGTAACGGCTAGACCGATGGGACATGGAAGTCCAACAGGGAATGACACTCTACGCGAGTCTACACGACGTATCAACGAGTGGTGTCTCGGCATGCGTGCAACATAAAAAGACCTACCGGTGCAAGAGACTAGAAGTCTGTTCAAGGACTTGCAACAGCAAACCTCAACACAAACCACCAAAGCCAGTTTCCTTAAGCCACCAAAGGGTACCGTACTCTGGAGCGGACCTAAGCATACATGCAGCTTCAGTCCACGCCTCAGCGGGCACTCCGCATGCTAATCAGCGATAGGCCAATACCGGTACTAACGAGGCAGTGACGGCGTTAGGCGGTACCTCCGCTGGGCGACAACCGCCGGGCATGGCACTTACCGTTGCACAGGCTCTAGTTGAACTGTACGTACGACACGTTAACGAGGTACGGGTAACCTGACAGGCCTTATCCTTTCTACCCAACCTCCTGCACCTAGCCCCCCAACTCCTTCCACAACCACCATTCGCATCAACAGCGCCCGCCAGCGGCCTCCTAGAGTCAACGAAACACCCTGAAGGTTTGCCCAGCCAACTGCCCAGCTAACTGCCCAGCTAACTGCCCAGATAACCCCAGCCACGAACGGTAACCTAAACCTTCTTCATGCCCTCCGGCACGCATGCGCCCATCACAGCCGCCGCATTGCCAGCCACCCGCATCGCGGCACCCACCACCGCAGCCACCTCGCCACGCGCTCTCTCGCCGTCAGGATTGTCATTAGCTGCGCCCGACTGCTTCACCGCCAGCCCCGTCACCCGCTCCACCGCCGCGCCCATCGCCTGCAGCAGCGGCTGCACCGTGGTGGCAGCAATGGTGGTGTACTTGCTGCCGTACACGCCGTTGATGGAGGGGGGCGAGTACGAGTAAATGTTCTGCTTTTCCCACACATCGTGTAGAGACATGGCGTCGGGTACCGTCTCGAAAGCCCATCGCAGCTGCAGTGTGAGCTCCGGACGCATGCGGCGGGAGGATGTATCCTCGGTCGTTGAGAAGTTGTGGTAGAGCTGGAGCAGGCTGGCGGGTTGGGCATCGCCCCCACTCTTGATGTTGCCTAGCAGCTGCTCCGGCAGGCTGGGCGACAACAGCAGTGCGTCGCTGCCCCGCAGAGCCCGCTGCGGGACGAGGCAGGCGACCGTGGCGTTTAGGGCTCCCGCCAGGACTGACACCTGTTTGGCCTCAGGCATCTTGGACATGACCTCGGCGCTTGCTGCACGGGTCAGGGCGGTCGTGGCCAGGGAGAGCAGCGCCTCCTTCGCAGCCTTGCTATCAGGGTCCGCCTGCTGACCCTCCACGCCCAACTGCTGATTCCCCTTCGCGGCCTTGTTCGCCGGGTTCTTCTGACGCTCCCTGCTGACCTCATCGCCCGCACAGCCCCACACCGCCACCACCGCCGCTAGCTCTATCGCAGCAGGGCGGCAGGCATCGCCCTCCAGCATTGGCCGAACCCGTGTTGCAAGCTTCGCAATCGACCTGCGGAGGTGCAAGGCAGATCCAAGAACGATGTCTGTTCAGGAAGGAGGCGCCAAAACAAGTATATGCTTCATCCTAACGTCCTCGAGCACATGTGGGCGGGGCCTGCATTCCCACGGGGCCAACATTTCCTTAAATGAATCCAGTCCAAAGCCAAATGCTAACATCCGCACCAGCACATCACCACCAGTAGGTTCACTAGACCCTCAGCGCACACACCCGCTATCCTTCCAGGTGAACGGTGAGGCCAGCAGCAGGCCCCGCATCAGGCACTCGGCGCCAGCGTCTCCCAGCTCCTCGAATCCACCCGGGCTGCTGGCGACGCCAATAGGGGGCTCCTCCATCAGCCGCGCCAGCAGCGACTCAGCCAGAGCCTCCACGGGCAGCCATTGGGGGCAGGGAACCAGTTGCGAGTTTGTTACCCTTGCCAGAACGCGAGAGGTCAGCTCAGCCGCACTCTTCGCGACAGCCGCAGGGTACACCACCTTCCCAACGGCTGCTTCACCGCTGCAGCGCTGCACCGTCGCGGCGAATGCACACCAGGTGGGACCGGGTGGGTCGCCCTTGAGCACGCCGAATGACGCCTCCGGGACTCCCGGCGCCTGTCGCACGAGCTCCTCCACGGTTATGAAGCCCTTGTCAATGTGAACAGCGAAGAGCTCCAAGAGAGCGGCGGCGCAGCCACCTGCGGCATCCAAGCGGTTGCCAGAGTTACGCAGCAGCCAATCAGCTGCGCGGGCCATGGCTGCTGAGCTCGTCGGTCCAGACTGCTGATCTGGCATAAGGGTGAAGTCGTAGTGAGCCATGACCAGCAGGGCATGCAGCGCGCGGCCGGCATCCGCCACGGGCTGCAGCTGTAGCAGCAGACCAAACAGCTGGGCAGCGCCGGCTTCTGCCGCCATCTTGGCTGCGCTGCTTGCCACTGCAGCCGGATTGGCGTTCTCACATACCACCAGCATTTCCGTCAAGCCCATGAAAGCCGCCTTGCCTGCGGGCGTGAGCTGGATAGGAGCGCTGCTGCTGCCGCCGCTGCTGGAGCCCTCCCCATGCAGGCTGGGCGGTGGTGCAGGTGATGCAGTGTCCACAGAGGATGCCTTCATCCCAACAGCTAAGGCGCGAACCAGGGGTTCCACAGCCCCCGTCTCGACGGCTGCAGCTGCCACCGACCCACGGGTCTCCTCATCCTTGCCAGCCTGCAGCACCACGGATAGCGCCTCGAGAATGCGTCTGCTGTCTTCCGCTTTCCCATACGCCGCATTGTTGAACGCAACCAGGCAACCCGCCAGTGCCTTCGCAGCCTTGGCCAGCTCGTCTGTGGACAGCAGGTGCAGGACTTGGGGCCGAAGCGTGGCGGCGGCGGCAGCGCCCAGGGCGCCTAGCTCCGCCAGTTCCGCAACGTCGGGCGGGCTGGTGGCGGCGGCACTGCGCAGTGCCTCGGCGGTGTTGCTGAGGGTGCTGACGCAGCGGCTCAGGGCCTCGTGCAGGACGTCAGAGAGGTAGCTGCCCTGCTGGTGCAAAGCAAGCATGGGCAGGAGGGAGGGGGTTCACAGTAAGTTGTGGCTCAGGTAAGTGCTCTCGCGAATGGCGCGATGGCGGAACCCAACAGGACGAGTCTGTCATTTGTTTGCATGCTGTTACGAATCCTGCATGGTTTCGGCGCGGCTGAAGACATGCCCAGCGTCTATCCGTCCCCATGGCACGGAGACCCTGTCCCTGAGCCCGCGTCACATGCCAGCTCGTCATTGTACCGGTCATCAAAGCTGGCCACCCTCGGACCCAAACCCCCCACCCGACCCACCTTGCTCTGCCATGCGTCCTCGTCAGCCACCGCAAACAGCGCCTCCGCCGCCGCCGCCAGCGCCGCCGCGGAGTCTGTGAGCTCTATGATGCGGCTCAGCCTCCGCAGCACCAGGAGGTTGTCCACCGCGGGCCGCAGCTTGCGGTGGCTGCACACCTGCGTCAGCGCCCGGGCCGCAGCCGCCTGCTCGGAGGCGCTGCTGGTGCCCAGGCCCAACACGTCCAGGCAGAAGGACACGGACTGCGGGAGGGTGGGGGTGGGCGGGTGTTAGCAGGGAAAGCAGTTTGGGAGCGTGCTGGTGTAACGCACATTGGGCAATGCTTGATGGCTGCAACGCCGCAGCGGCTTGGCTGATAAGTGCACACCGTGCAGGGCTCCGTACTCCTGGACTTGGGTAAGCTTGCAAGCCGCAAACGTAAGTGCGCAGCCTTAAAGATAGAGCATTACCTGCGACACACTGGCCTTCTTCTCCAGGACAAGAGTAACCAGGCTCCCGTCGGTAATGGCTTGGAGCATCCCTCGCTGAGAACCAGTCGGAGGAGTCTCCGGAACGCTGTGCCAGTCCATGTTTGCGTCAGGAACCGCTGCCGGGAGAAAGCCGGCTGCAGGAAACGGCCTGGAAGGCCGCACGGACCGAGCATGGTGCTGTCGGCAAAGCGGGTGTGGAACGGTTAGGGCTGGGCGCGACAGCGCAAAGCACCTATTGGCTGTGGCTAAGCAGGACGCCATTGTGGGAACACAAAAGCTCGTGAGTTAAGGGCGAAGGTGCTTGTTGTTTACTTGGAAGGTAAGGCGATTGCAAGGGTCGGAGGAGGAGGATGCAAGGTGCAACCCGTGACTTTCACGGTCACATATCCTAGAAGCCTTTGTAAACCCACCGATGACCCGCGGTACAGCGTTGGTCAGTCATATTGGAAAAGCCGTTTTTTTGGCTGGATGTTGTGCACAGAGCGCATACAGAACTTCCTGATTAGCTCGCTGGTCAGAAACCTGGCCAAAGTTGGACAGCTGCTAACGGAAAATCGCAACCTGTCGCTTACTAGTCCATAGAGTGACCAGTTTTGCAATTTGCTTGAATTAATCTTACAATAGGGTTGGAAAATGTCATTGTGCGCACCATAAGCGACGCGACGACGAGTGGTGATGGCGACATGGCATGCGTGCAAAATGGTAAACCCTACCGGCGTGAGGGATAATGAAAGAAGTATACGGCAAAAGGCCAAACTATCACATTAATGAAGGTTATCCTTTGGCAACCACGCAAAACATGACGCTTGAGCTTCGCTTCAGCTAGCGTTTGGCATGCTAGTCACGGAGAACTTGGGACTAACTTAAGAGATTCCCTTTGCAGACGAGGAATGTTGAGCATAGCACTTACCGTGGCAAAGTGTCAGTTGAATTGCGTACGACACTTTGAAACCGAGAAGTCGGGACTATATAGTTGTTATATAACATAAGCTATATTTTTTCCCTAAATCGCTACGTGACTGCTTGGACTTGCTGTCAGGTGCTGATCAGCTCAGGCGCACCAAATTTGACAACTTCTTAGCCGAATTTTGAGTGGCCCGCTTTTTCCTCTGCTGTCGCCTTCGCATCCTCTCAAAATGTCAGAAGTGGAGCTCTCGAACGGCGCATCGGTGAGTTCCTGAGTCCGCGTCCTACCAAAGGCGAAATGGGGCCCTGATACTCTTACCAATTTCGAGGGTCTAACCTGGCCGTCGTGGTGGTTCATTCAGGATGATGATTGTTTATTGCAAAATGGCGCAGCCGAAGCTGCGGAAGAGCAACTCGATGACGAAACAGCTGCGCTCCTGAAGGAGCTAGAGGCCTCACAGCTCGAGGTGCAGCGCATGATTGAAGCGCAACGTGAGCAGGCATCGGAGTTAGGTGGCATGAAGGAGCATCTCGCTTCCGAGGTACGTTCCGCGCCTTCCTAGCAGTCAGCAATAGCCATCCGCGCTCCGTTATGCCCTTCGTCTGTACCCGACATGTGCCCTGACGTTTACTCCCGCCTACGTCCTCCACAGCTCCAGCAGCTTCAAGATGATGCATGGAAGCTACAGGTGTTTGCGGAGCTGGAGATGCTCAAGCGACAGCTGGCGGCAATCAACAACCTGGATGCCGACCTGGATGCAATGGAGGCGCGTCTGGAAGAGGGCGGCGAGGAGGCGGTTAACGACGAGTTCGAGAAGGAGCTTGAAGGTGGGTGTCATGTGTGGGGTCTTTATGGGATGCCGGTCGGGCTAATTTGGGTCAGCGTGGCGTAAAGAGTAGGGCTGGATGGAAGGGGGTCGAGTGCATGGAGAGGCGGCTTTGCCAGTTTTGGCGCTGGGCACGTGACCTGAGGGTGACAGGAACGGATGGTGTAGATGCCTACTGTGCTGGAAGGCGGCCTCAATTGCTCGGGCGCGGCTGTCCTAGGACTTCATCCTGATGATGCGGTGTTTTGCTGTGAAGCCGCAACCCGCAGTCTGCGATCGCTTATGACTCCTCCTTTCCGCTCACCCGCGTCCCACCTCCGCAGCCGCCCGCGCCGAAACCCTAGACATGCTGTCGCGCATGGACGTCCCCACCACCAGCGGCGCTGGCAAGGCAGGCCGGTCGGGTGGCGACGCGTCCACGACCGGGGCTTCATCATCAGCTGCTGCTGCCGGCGTGACTGCTGCTGGAGGGGAAGATGAGGGCGAGGCGGGTGGCGAGGATGCGGGCGGCAGCAGCGGTGACGGGGAGGACGTTGAGGCGCTGCAGGATGAGTTGGATGCCGAGCTTGCGGCGATGTACAAGCAGCTGCAGGTGCGAACAGGCAATTGCATGCGTGCGAAAGCAGCAAGGGCAGTAGATGTAACACCGAGAGACAGCAGTAGATGAGCAGATGAGCAGTCAAGGGTTGCCTTTCAAGAGGGATGGGGAGGTTAATGCGCGTGCGAATTGTCGCTAAAGAACCGAGCATGATTTATATACCATTGTTTCAACCTTTGCTTGGCATGCATGCTTGCGTAGGATGTCGCTTATGCTACTGCTTTCATCGCCACGGTTGCCGCATTACTCCTGCCCATGTATTTGCGCTTTCTTCCTGGGTGCAGGCCATCAAGACTGAGTCGGCGCTGGTGTCGGCACGCAAGGCCCAGTTGGAGCTGGAGCTCATGCAGCTCATACGGGAGGGCGCAGATGACCTGTCGTCGCAGCTTAAAGAGCTGAATATGGAGGAGGAGGGGGGTGAGGAGGAGGAAGAAGATGCGAAGGGAGAGGAAGAGAAGGGGACGGCGGGAGAGGAAGGGGCTCCTCCTGCGGCAGAGGATGTCGCCGCGACGACTGCATAACGTGCATGCCATTTGTATTAGTGGGTTGCGACAGCCGTTGTTGCTGCTTTTGGGGATGAATGCACGCGTGGCGACATTGTACGTTTTGCTCCAGCATGTGGGTCTGAAGACTGTATGTGTGGTGATTTAACTCCACTTCTCGATGCATCTTGACTTCAAGTTCCGGTTCATAAAGATCTAGTAGGACCACCGGCAGCGAGCGTAGTGACTGCACTTGTTCGGACGGTGCTAAGGACGGGCCACCTCGGCGGGATGCCTGGGTCCGGTAGCCAACATCCTGTTTGCTTGCATTGCTGCGGTGTCGGTACTGTCTCGCGCGGAAATGCCCGTGTGGCTTGTATTTGAGTATTCATACACACATACGACATGCGTGCAATATGCGCTTACATGAACGTCTACAGCTTATATATGCAGAGTCTATAGGTTAGCCAGGTCAGGCATGCCAGTTAGCCAGGTTATATATGCAGAGTCTATAGGTTAGCCAGGTCAGGCTAGCAGTTTACGGCAGGCGGGTAACATGTACACGTGCCTCAGGTCTCAGAATACTTGACCATGTAAGGACATATGGCCGTGCTCTGGACGGCCCGTGATTGCCCTGGGCGGGGTGCGGAGAACGATGCTTGAACAAGATGCATGTGCTCTGTGCTATCCGGCTCGCTTGGCTTTGGACCCTTCACCCACTGAGCAGTAAGACCAAACAAGTACAACACGTTTAGGTATGCTTGTAATCCTCATCTTGCTGCTGCAATGAGGGATGCCTACACGTACGTCTATGCACGTGCAGGTATGCCGCCTCAGCCACAGCCGGTATGCTGCACTGGGCCTGTATACCGGTAACAAAGGCCCCCAAAGCCCTCTCGAGGTGTCGTAAGGTTGTTGCTGCCTTGGTACGGCCTGGCAGGTGTGCTCGGCGGCTTGGCTGTCGCCACCGTCTGGGTCCACCCATGCGGTCCTCCACCCTCCTACGCCCACGACGTACTGCCAACGTCGCCCACCTGCGGAACCTGCGGCGCTTGGCTGGAGGCGAGGCGCTGCAACGCGGCACCTGATGGTGGAGCGTGTGGCTGGGAGGGGGTGAAGGTTTGAGACGTGAGGTTGGGGGCAGGTGCACATGGGGCGAGGGTGCAGCCATGGAGGCAACGCAAATTGCGACGCGGGGCTTCATGCACCAAGCCAGCGAAGTACAGATGCGCCGCAGGGCACGGCTAGTGTGCTTCCGTTGCCCACTGCTGTTGCATTACCGGTACTTGGGGGCGCTCCCATAACCGCTCCTGCATGGCCTCACCGCCGCCGTGACGCGCACTCACCAAAGCACCTATACCCAACCAGGGAAAGCAGATCGCCACCTTTCTGCGTGCGCGGGTAGTCAACCTCGAGCACACAGCTTGTGCGAAATAAAGTTTGAGACCAGAATTAGGAGATGTCCGTGTGTGTTTACTGAGCCCTCCCTGGTGGCATAGCCGCACGTGTGTGTGGTCGAATCCGCTTAGGCTGATGGTGGCTGCCGTGGGGATGTTGTCGCAGCCCAGGGCAGTGAGCACGCTAGGGCTGAGCTCCGAAACGGGTGAGGCCGTGTCAATCAGCAGGACCACGTTGACCGCTTTGCCGTTACGCAGCTGCGCCGGGGGGCGGACAAACGTTCACCGCCGCGCAATGGGCCTGCGCTGCTGCGGCCGGGTGCAAGCTGGGAGGTGGTGGGGAGGAGGGAAGTGGCAGTTACGATTGCCATTGTTGCGTACATGACAGGTATCAGTCCGTCGTACATTTTCTTCAAACTCTGTGGGACAGACTGTCGCTTAGATTGTAATCTTTTGTCCCTATACGGCGACGCTCGTCGAACCGTTAGCAAACTATCGTCGTCGAGTGTCAATCAATGGCGGTTGATGACGTACGGTGCGTTGGCCCAGTAGTCTTCAAGGGTTACTTTCACGGGTTCGGGCAAATGAAGGCCAGCGTTTCAGGACGATTGCAGCTTTCATCGAGAACTTTGTAAGCCTTTCTTGATAATTCCGTTGCTAATCCACGGCTTCACAGGGCCTCTCTTATTACTAAGCCGCAAGCAACTACATACCTAGATAGGCAACTCTCTCCTCAGCCTACCCCGCCCGCCGGTTTCAGCTCCAAACGGTCATAGACAAGAGTCGCTTAACACCGTATAGTAACCGCTTAACTAGGACCCACTAAGGTTTGTCGTTTCGATTGGTTTCGCCAATTGCCGTCTCAATGGCGCCTTCCAGTGGAGATGGAGCCGGGGCCTGGTGTGAAGCAGAACCCCTGTTAGTCAGTCTGTATGGCTTCTCACACTGCGCCGCTAGTCAGTTGCAGTCAACGGGCAGCGTGACGCAACTCTGCGACCTCCTCCGGCGCTTCACGCAGGAAGGGCTACAGGTAGGTATATGGGGTCCTAGACGCCGGGCGGCTAGCACAGCGTTATGACGTGCACGTTGGGGTCACCGGGCGAGCATGCTTTCTGGCTTTAATCTAGCCCACTGGTGGCAATGCTCCATGTTACAGGTACTCATAACGCCAACCAACTCCACGGAAGCCATGGTAACTGCTGCCTCACGTTTTGCCCGTGACTGCACCCATCTGCTGTACCGCCCTGGTGCCGTACCGCCCTGCCGTACCGCCCCGCCATGCAGAAGGACGACACCGCCAGATCTCCCAGTGACGGCACCCGGCATCCTCCGCTCTGGCACGGCCTAACCGCTTCGGACCTGCATGCACTGCGTACGGCAGCTTCAGCCCTGCAGTCTGAGCAGAGGGCTGCCTGGTTCCCGGAGTACGGCTGCGCTGTGCTGGCCCTCGGGCCCCCGGCGGCGGCTGAGGGTGTTGGCGCTGATGACGAGCGGTCTCGACCCGGCGACCTGGACCTTCACCTGGTGTGCCTGGACGGCTGGAGGTTTACGGCGCATAGGTGAGGTTTCTTCCAGGAGCCAGTAGGACAGATGCCGTTGGCATGCAAACGTGATTGGGGCGGGTGTGGACGGTACACGTACCGGTATGTACACACGTGCAATACTTCAACCCATCCTTGCACTACTGCAGCACGCAACACCTTCACTAACTGCTTTGGCATAATCCCGGGTTAAGTATGGAAGCAAGCCGTTACCTTTACTGCCCAAACCCCACCTGTGTACGCAGTACACCACATACAATCCAGCACACGGCCACATGCGGCGGCCATACCACCGCCTTCTGCGGCAGTATTGCTGCGGATGGGCTTCCCACCCTAATCAGCCAAGTTCACAGCTTGCTGGCCAAGTCCCTGAGGCAGCGCCAGAGGGACAAGCAGCACGGCTTCCAGCACACCCCCGCCCTGGTGCACGCAAAGGTGTGCCAGGCCCTGGCCTCCGGCCGCGACGGCGCTGCGGCGATGGGCTCCGAACAGCAGCACCAAGGCCGCGGGGGCTTCACAGACGTTGGTCTGCACACCGGCGCGGATACAGTCCGGGACACCTGCTGGCCCCTGGTACAGGAAGCCCTCAGGGTAAGGAAAGGGAGGGAGGTCGGCTGGTCGGGTTCAACTGACTTTAACTGGCTTCAGTTGCTAGCCGTTGCGCTGTAGCACTTCTGGTCGGCCGGATACTTTACAATCCCTTCTGCTGTGCGTCTCTTTCGGACACTGCTGCAATGAGTTCGTGCAATCCCTGCCATCCTCCCTGCAACAGGTCTTCCTAGCTGACGGTGGCGCCTGCTGCTGTGACTCCTCAGACCCCCAGCAGCAGCCGCCCTCCCTGCTGTTCCGCCAGGCCAAGGCGCACCTCGACCTCTGGCTGCTGCGCCGCCAGCTGCCCCTCATCCAGCCGCACACCGCCACGCCCACCATGCTGAACGCCGCCATGCAGATGCTGCGCCCAGCCGCAGCCAAGGCGGCTGAACTGGCGGATGACGGGTACGACGTGTCAGCCTTTGAGGCCGCATGCCACCAGGCGGAGCAGCACCTGGAGGACGCCACAGCGCAGCGAGCTTTGCGGGTTGCAGAGGGCCTTCAGCTGCCCGCTGCGGGATCCCCGGACCTCTTCGGCAGCACCACGCCTCCCTCTGGAACCCTTCCTGCGGTTTTGGAGCCTGGCGTGGAAGAGGGAGGGCTGGAGGCTGCACGGCAGCGAGCGGAACGCAACCTGGGCTCGCTGCCGGTGCTTCCGTACGGCAACATCGCGACATTCGCACAGCTCAAAGCAGCCATGACACAGCAGCCGCAGTGGGCTAGCCCCAGCGACGATGTGGCGGCTCAGCTAGTTCTTCGCAGCATCGAGCAGGAGTTCTTCTGGCGAGCTAACCTGGGCTTTGGCGCACCTGCCAACCAGCTGGACAGCGGCGAGGTCGCCGCCCTGGAGGCTGTGGTGGATGGCTACCGGGCGGCGGTGCAGCGCTTCCTGCAGACGCCCGCAGCCCTGGCGGTCATGCGCGTGGAGATGCTGAGCAGGGAGGTGCTGGTGGTGTGGGTGGCGTACTGCCTGATGCACAGCGCTGCTGGCCTGGAGCACCCTGTCCTGCTGCGGTACGGAGTGCTGGGGCCGTACCACGGTCTTCGACACCTGGTGCTATCAGACAAGACCGCTGTGGATGCCGCGCTCAGCGTCTGCGCTTACCTGCAGTCCCACGCAGTTCAGAGCAGGATGGCCTTCTCCCTCCTAGACGGCGGCAAGGGCACCATGGAATTGGCGCTGGAGTATGCCGCAGCGTCTAACCAGCTGCAGCAGATATGGTCAGCGGAGCAGCAGGATGCGGAGACACGGGTGCAGCAGCACTGGGCGGAGGTCCAGCGGAAGCAGCGGCTGGCGGCTCAGCTGAGGCAGCAGCTAGCCGAGCTGGAGGCGGAGGGCGCACAGCTTCAGGCGCAGCTGCGCCAGCGTCAATCTGAGCGCGAGTGCTGTATTTATCGCAGCAACTTATGGTACACGGCAAACTCACGATTATCGGACGCTCAAAACCGGGTGGACAACAATTATACTCAGCAAAACAGCACTCAGCGCCAGCTAACGGAGGCGGAAAAGGCTCCACCGCCCGTCATCCAGCCGCTACCCAAGGCCAGCCATCAGGCGCTGCAGTGGCTTTTCTTCCTGCACATGCCGCCGCTGCTCCGCCACCTCTCTCGCATCAGTTTCCTGGCGCAGCAGATTCTGCTGCCCAATCCGTGCGGGCCCGAAACAGCAGCTGCCATTACCGAAACATTTGCCACGTCCCTTGTGCCGCACTACAATAACATGCGGCAGGAAAGGAAGTACCTCCCTAGCCCTAAACAGTCCAGGGAAGGCTCAAACGGAGCTGTGCAGCTGTGGTCCCGAATGCAGGCTGCCCAGGCCAGGAATGTCGGGCCAGATCATGTGGACCGGTTTACCGGCCCGTCTGACGGCGTCTGGTATCCCGATAGTCTTCTTCCCTGCATGGCTTGGCAGGGCAGCGGCTCCCAGGTAGACTCCACCTTGCAAGCTCGCGGCTTCCCCGCCTTCTTCAACCCCTTCTCTTCTTCCGTGGACCCGCGCCTGGTGGAGCTCCACTTCACTGAGCAGTTGCCTGCGGGTGCGGCAGCAGCCTCGCTGCAATGGGCCATGCATGTGCGTGGTACGGCAGCTGAGACTCCGCCCG